AGCAGGAAGCATATTGTACTTGCGTTAAACATCTTCAAGTCGAAAGAATTCCCTAGGATTGCCCACTTAACATATCAATGTCATTTAACTTTGTGATTGTGACTTAAACCCCACAGCTTGTCACTCTGGTCTACATTTGATTAATTCCATCCTTTTAGGATGTCATAACGCTGAAGAAGCCAAATACTCATGTGCCATTTCTGGCACTCGTGGCTTTAAAACCAGGTCATGACTACTACACGAAGCATGTCGAGGGCCTGAAGTAGTTCAGCCAGGGAAGCCCTTGGGAGCGTTAGTTTGGAAGAAAAACTTATGTACTATTTGCCATCTCGGGTCCATCCAGCACGGGCAATGTACTCCACAGTCGGAAACAATGCAGAAAACGGTTGCACCAGCTCCTTGTCCTGAGCACACACGATCTGCAGCAAAAGGAAGGTCCAATATCAAATCAGACTGCTACCAGACCTCCCCACCTCCTCCTATGGAGGGTCAGGCCAGGAGAAGCAAGCCCTTCTACAAATGGCAGGAAGAGAAGGGAAAAAACAAGCTTCAAAGCAAAATGATTTTGGCATTCAGCCACAGAAGAGGTACAGCCAGGGACTGAAGCCTAGGATTAAATCAGGCTTCAACCCTCCTGCTCTACTATTGACAATGTGGTATCCCAGGCTAACCCTACTTCTCGATTCCCTCCCCTCTCCCAGCTCCCTCTCCACCAGAACAATATTTTTGAGTATTTTCAAGCTCTTTGTTTCTTGGATAAACACATTACAGAACCAGGTGTTACAAGAGGATGAAAACAAAGGCTAACAATGTCTACAATTTCTTAGTGACCTTGTCTTAATTCTAGGGAGCATCAGAAGCAGTCAACCCTCCTGTGAAATATCCCATTCTGAGTTGTTATCACTTACCTTACCCTTGCTGTCTGTTTTAAATTCTGCCAGTTTTAATGTAATCTTGGGGTTTTTGCTGCCTGTGGAGAAGGATTGAAAGAATACCAATATGACAGACTTGAACACTCCATGGTTATACACAATACAGCTTTCCCAGAAAACAACTGACCCTGGTCCTACAGAAATGGCTGTGTGTGAATGTTCAAATAGCAAATTATGTATGTGAGCAAACACCACTGTAATCACAAGAGTCATTCTGGGTATGGGAAAAGTTTGCTTTTGCCTTGCCTAGTTGGCTGTGCATGTTCTCAGGAGGGAGAGGAAAGACGTGATTCAAAATGTATTCCATGATACACCACCAGATACATTCAATTTTCTCAGCAATCCTTTCATTGAAGCTGAACTTTAAATCCCATTCCTTTCTTGCAGTCGATTTTGGGCTCGGAGACTCAATTAGGCCTCAACATTTACAACCAGCTTCTACACCCTAGTAAGTACCCCGATTAATCATGCAAAGTTTATAGCACAAATTCCACTGCTGCTGCCAGCAGGAGTCAAGAGTTGCATTAGCAGCCCCACGGTATTTCATTTACCTGTCCTGGGGTACCGATAGGAGTCTGTTTTTCTCTCCTCCAAGGCAGGTGAAGGAACATGAATTATCTCCACCTCTGACTCATCCACTTCCTCATACAAGATCCGCAGTGTTTTTAAATCCTCTGAACCTAGGACAAAGAGTAAGCATGTTTGCTACAGGGTTTTTCAGCTGTTTCTAACTTGCCTGGAGCACCGTGGCAGTACACTCTGGTCCAGAGCGCACACCTCCTGTACAGCCACAGCTCCCAGCGACCACCTGCAAATACTGCGCCGAGCACAATTATAATTCCTCAGTGTTTTGCTCCTTCAGGTGGCCTCCCCAGAAACAGACCAAACCCAGGCCCAACAGAAAACCTTGCTCAAAACATTATTGATAGCAGGGGCCAGCAGCAGTTACAGCATCAGAATTTGATAAGCAGAACACTGACTGACCTTCTGCGGAAGCTGTGGGACACCACCAATAGCCTGTGAACCGATCAAACTCCTCCTGAATGACAAAAGTGGCTACACCAGCAGACTTGGGGTCATCGAGAACATTGGATAAGCCTGGAGAGGAACAAAGAGGAAACTGCGTTTACACCTCCCTGGAAAAAGCTGATCCAAAGGAAGAACGTACTTGTAAGAAATAAGCCATGAAGATATGAGCCCTTCCAGCCCAAATCCATCAGAAGGAACTTCCACTTGAATCTGGCAAGAAGCACCAGTTACCTTTATGGCAGTATGTCATCCGCTTCTCCTCTCCCGTCTCAATATTTGCTACCCACAGATCATTGTTATTAATGAATGAAAAGAAGGCAGGGTCAGCAGGGCAGATCTTGGGATCCATTCGTGGCCCTGTGCACTGAGTCTTGATCTCCAGAGGCTTCATTGGAGACACCTACAGCAACAGACACACAAACAGTTCTGTACCAAATCAGCTTCCAGCTTCATATTTAAAGGCTGAAACCACAGATACAGTACAGCCCATGAAATGAGGGCACACATAGCCTTAACAGGACACAAGAGAAATGACCACAACCAAACAGCTGCAGATGTGCAGTCATCTCCAACCAAAACCATTAAGTCCGTTTCAGGTGATATTCATAAAATCACTAGCAGACTCACCATGAAGCCATTCTTGCCCCCATCTCGACAATGAAAGAGGCTGTTGCTGGCCTGGAACAGGAATAAGCCACTCTCACTGTGGAAATCATAAGATGTTATACCAAAGACACCAAGTCGCTTGCGTTCCCTCAAGAGTTCCTCTTCTCTAGAATACATCCCATGATGAGGGGTTGCCTAGTATTGAAGGAAAGGAAAATCTGAAAGAATCTGCAAAGAGAGGAACTTCCACAGAACGGGAACGCTGCACGACTGGCACCAGTTAGTCTGTGAATGCCCAAAATACAACATACCAGCCAAAACCAGTTTCCAGTCTTACCATACTATAACTACTGTACTCTAGCCTACAGGTGTGATCCAGGAGAACTAAACCAACTGCATGCCCCAGAGTTCCCTCTACATGAGAGATGAATTGCAAATCTGTAATTTCTGCAGTTGTCACTTCAGCATGAACTGAGGACAGCTGCACTTGCTCTGCTTATGCAAATCAGATGTAACCAATTAACTTAATGACGTTATCTACAGCCTTCACAAACAGTTTCCATGTCAGACTCTGCAAACAAAAGCTCTTCTGGGGATCTTGAATTACCCTGAAGAGGACTAGCAATCCAAATGGGGTCAAGGCAGCTAAATTCTTTTCAACCAGGAACCTTTTTAGTAAGGAAGAAAGACAAACACTGTCCACTCTCTTCTTCATCAATGCTGTTCACGACAAAGGACATTAAGATACTGAAATCAGGGAGGGGAAAATTCACCCCCTTTACTGTTCATTTGGTGTAGGGCGGAAGCAGCTGTTTAAATTCAACTTTTCTGACTTTCTTAAATGCAGGAAAGATGACAGACAGGCATTCCACCAAGCTCATCAATGAGCATCGCAAAAGCCCAGACAAGATACCCAGAAGGAAGGTGCACTGTCCTGATAGTTTATAATCTGAGGTAGACTACGTGCTAGTTGAGAGTTCTCTTTGCTTGCCACATCAACTGCTGCTTCACGCTCACTGCCAGCTTCACTGCACTCACAAGTGACTGTCTTGCATTATGAAGCAAAGCAGTTCTCGATACAACATACCTACCAATACCATTCTTCATGTCTTATACGCTGGCACACTATTATCTCAGAGTAGTACCCATCACACCAGCCCCACAACATCAGCCAGATTTCCCAAGCACTGTCAACCCAGGTTCTTCACACTTTGGCTTACCTGAAAGTGATCCAGCATCTGTTTCCATGACAAGAGTAGCAAGGCCTCCTTCCGTACCTTTTTGGGGATCTCTGAGTAAAGAAGGGAATTCTCTCGGCTACCATATGGCATTCCTAGTAGGAGGACAAAAGCATCATCGTACTTAAGATTAGTTAGCCAGGACAAAGACGACCAAGAGCAAATTAAAAAAAAAAAAAAGTCTGATAACAGAGGGGTTAGGGCTCTCCAGAGGCTTTTACCAGCTGTCATTCCCAAGCAGCTCTCAGTTCAATCACAGAATAATATCCAAATTATTTAAATTTAGATATTCACTTATTTAGAAATTTCCCTAAGCAAGATTTAACACTAACCAACCCCTTCAGAATTGGTTATGTCCAACTTTCCTCTCTGTGGACTGTTCAACCCACGCTCTAGATCCACTCTAAAAAAGCCACTCCCTGAATGGGTGATTCAACATTACTCTCCACATTTCTCAGCCAGAAGTTTCCTACAGGGACCTCATTCAGACCAACGCACCAGCCTGCAAGAAGGGAAGAAAAACCTTGGAAGCTCTAGAGAGCCCATTCAAATATGAAACAGTATACTACATAGTCAAAAGACCTCGTCATTCTACATAAGCCTTTGACTGTGGTTATCAAATAAGATGTTGGCCATCCAATTTCCAAAACAACCATGAAAAATAAAATATCCTGACACACGATTTTGGCAGTTTCAACAAAATCAAAGACCATGAACTTGCCCTCTACATATGCTGTAGCGACTCCCTAGATCAGAATTTCGCACAGGGAAATGTGTCCTCATATTGTCTACTCTGCACATGTTCTGGGCAGAACAGAAAGATTTCTGAGCTGGCTAACCCAGCAGTACAGTTACTTAAAATTAAAACTGAAATATTAATAAGTGCTCAGGAAGCAAAGCAATATGTGAGCTTAATAATCCTCAGAGATACAGAAACACCAAAGTGCTGAGCATGTGGTGTTTAATATAAGCAGCATCTGCCATGATACAACATAAAATTCTACAGGGACAACCCAGGGATGATTTAAGATGTCCAAACAGAAAAAACTGCAGATAGGAACAAATTACTATATATACACACATTTGATACTCATGTGACTGTGACCTGGACTTCATTTCTCCTTATTATATCAGTACTTTCTACAATGACCTCAGCTGACTACAATCAATCAGCATTTACAAGAAAAATATCGCCTTCCTCCCCAAAAGACATTATACTTTGCTCCCAAGTAAAGAAAACTATTCAGCCTCTACAGCAAAGTTCTTCAGCAGTC